ATTCCGAATCTAACCACTTATTTCCATTGCCCTCAGTCTCAAATACCATTTCTCTGTATTACTCTCTACCCACTTCTATCCTTGCTTTGATCAGAACCCTAATTGCTTCCCACCTCACTCAATGAAGTCTGTCTTTAGAAAGGCCTACATTGTCCAACATGATTACCTATAACCAGGCATGACCATTAATCCCAATCGCCCTAACCTACTTTCTAATCTCGCTTAATATTCTGTTTGCTCACTATGGTCACAATGATCTCTTTGCTGTTTCTTGCAAACACAAAGCACCCACCAACTCAAGGCCTTAGTATATAACAGTTCTTCTGCCTGATATGCATACTCTCCTCCCAGATATGCATATGGCTCGATTGTTCACTTTTTCAGATTTCTGCTCAATGTCACTTTATCAGTGTATACTCTATGTAAAATAGCAAAACCATACTCGTACACTCTCCAAACCCCTTCTTCGACATATTTTCCCTTAATAACCTTGTTACCATATGATAAACTACATCTTATCAATTAAAATGAAAATCCTGAAAGGGTCAAAAATAATTGTTTATTCTGTGCCCTGCTATATATGAAGGCCTAGAACACTTCCTGGCACATAATAGATGCTTGAGATTTATTGAAATATCTAGTCCAAGAGGAATATGAATGTTTGATTATAAAAATAAATGGTAGAATAAAACCGGAAATCTAAGATATTTGTTTACGCAAGATGGTAATTTGTTGGAAAAAAAAAAAGAGAACTATTTTAACTAATTTTTTATTCAAATATCCAGGTGTATTTATTTAACATTTACTAAGTGCTGGGGATACAGCCCTGTTGGAACTTCATAACAATACTAGTAGGTATTAATACCACTATTTTACAGAGATGAAAGTGAAGATGACAAAGGTCAAGTGACATAACAAGGATGTTGCAAAGAAGAAACCAACTCAGGTTTCTGATATTACGTCTATAAACTCTCAATATTCAAAGCAGTTTCAAGGAATGATATAAATCCAAAATAGGTAAGGTTTTCACATTTGTAGAGAAAAATAACTGTGTATGGATTTGCTATAAGCCATCTCATTTGCATGACAGGATAATACAGGAAAAGTACTTGAGGCAAACTTCACTTAATATTCACAAAAATTAATTTTGCTAAGCTTAAAGAGATATTAAGTCTCAAATAATAAAGTGTTCAAGTATTAGTCTTTCATCTTTCATGGTTCAAATGCAATTGATACCAATCACATAATAGCAAATTTTCTTCGCACCTTTCAAATATGTGAAGGGCTTGTATCCACAATCTATTTTTCACGTGGAAAAATAAGTTATGGGTAATATTCAGCAATATTCAATTTACACACACACACACACACACACACACACACACACACACACACGTCTGGGGTAAATCTGGCTTTATACATATCCATTTGGTTTATTTTTGTTAGCTTTTAAAAATAATTGTAAGTATGGTTATTTGACTATTTCATATCCACAATTTTATCTTAATATTTAAAAACCCATGAAATACGTAGAACAATTTTCATTAATAAAGCTGAGAAAGCCAAAATGCAGAATGATAAAACTTCTTTAAAATGATACAATTTGGGGGAACACTAAGACATTTTTAATAAAACTGTTTTACTATAACTTGTCCGTTTATGAACCTTAGACCCATAAAATAAATACAACCAAGCTCCAATAATATTGTCATTGTATGACAAGATTCCATACTCATATCAAAGCCTAACCTTATTACTGGATATATTTTAAAGAACATTTAACACACGATAAACCAGAACCCATGAAAAATGAGCCATATTCTAGAAGGTTCGGATAAATTATAGGCAAAGCAAACGAAACTTAAAAAAAAAATGGTTAAACTGGTAACAACTGGTCTAAGAAAGGAGCAAAGGAAGCACTAGCTGTATATGATAGAAAAGATTACAAGGTGGACATAGCAAATTTCTGATCTTTTATTAAGATTGGTGATTGGGAAAAAGTAAATAAATTGTGCTTTAAAGATTCGCTCCAGTGAAGTAAAATTTCATTAGAACAATCTCACAATTAAGGAGTGAACTAGTGATAATTCACATAAGGCTTGGGGCAGAAATTCATCTTTCCACAATCTATAATCTATATAAATTTACCATAAAAGTTATACTGCTTTTTTGGCTTTCACAGTACTACTCATAAGTAACTAGGTCTTGTTAACAAAAAAGACCAAGTCTTAAGCAATCTTTTTTGTCTGGTTGTTACCAAATAGTTATAGAAGTAATAAAACTACATTCATTTAAAAAATTATATGACCCAGAATATTTAATAATTTAGACTAGGCTTTCCTATTGAGGAATCAATGAGATTTTGCTGTTCTTTCCTTCTCTCCTGAAGAGAAAATGAATACTTTTTGAAAATGTTTCCTTGTAATGATTTCCAGTATCACTTAAGAAGTAATACGTCCTCAAGAAGGGAAAATTCCTCTTTAAGAATAAAGATTCTTCTTGAGGAATAAGATTAAAATACAACTTTGCCTTTTCTCTTAATCTAACAAAGAAATGCATTTGTGTATTAAAATGTCCCCAATTTACATGATGCTTTAGACATCTGGTAAGCACATAAGAGTTGTGCTAAAAAACTTTAGCCTAGATGAGCCTTATAAGCCCAAATAAAATTTTATCACATTGAATTATCAGAAGTTTTAAGTACACTGTTCCAAGAGAACAAACAAATTTAAATCAATATTTTTACTATTTGCTTCTCGAGCTGAGCACACAATATATTTCGATAAGTCCTTTCATAATTTCACATTAACAGTTAGGCAGAAAAAACAAGTTCTGTTGAAGAAACGCTTAGTTCAGATTTAACTAAGTATTCTGAATCCAAGCTACGTTACATAACTTGTATGCCTTAAGAACGCTATCGTTATTTTAAAATTCTACTGTTCTCCCTTCCTGCAAAAAGTTATGACAAATATTTTTAAAGATAAATTTTTGGTTCACTAGATGAAAAGGCATTTGTATTTAAGAGAAATACTCCTCTAAGTCAATTTAACATCCCCATAGAAAGTCCTCAAATTCCAGTTTAAGAAACACTAATCCAGAGTTCTTCAAACAGAGCAAAACCCGAGTCAACAAAACCTATACATTATACATAAAAACACTATTACTGTCAAAATTGTTTTATGTCAAGAATTTTACCAGCAGCATTTAAAAAGCAAGAGATCATTAAACAACAAAAGACAAAGACTGTAATGCACAGACAGATCAGCACAAAAAAGAATTACTGGCTCCGAGGGGTGGGGGGACAAACTCTCCATCCTCTCACAGTTGAGAATCAACCCCCTGGCTCTAATTTCTTCCAGTAGTATTACATTTGTATACTATTCTATAAGAAGTAAGTCATTTCTGATTATAAAGCACCACGGAGTATTTCATTCCATACAAAGGAAATAATTCTCAAAATTTTACAACAGGATTTCTGGGAAGGCACTTAAAGCTAACCAGTTAAAAGAAGAGCCACAACAGTTAGGAGACTTCTTTTTTATACTGCAGACTCCTTAATATTGTCCTCTTTGCTTATACTATTTATAACCACTTGATCAAGTTTCTCAATAAATTAAATGCAGTTTAAATATAAAATAAGAAAGGGAAGACAAGGAGGGACAAGCCTACATCCTAACTGATAAATGAGGCAGAGTAAATTTGCCTACAGTGTAAGTGAATATTATGACTCTAAGGAGGTGAGAGAACTAGGAGCAAGAGAGTAAAGCAAGCATGGCCTCGGTAGGATCGGGCTCTTGGCTTAGGGAAAAAAGTAAGTTTCATTTTAGTTTTCAGATTCAAAAAGTCTTAAAGATATTTTCGGATCAGTAAGCAAAGTAAATAGTTTCATATATTTTATTTTTTTAAAGATCACCTATAAATTTTGAGTGTTCTTTATTTTACTCAAATAGTGAAGATGACAAAAACATCACCATTAGTTCAGGCTATAAAATGACAACTTGTAAGATTTCACTTAAATTACATGTTTTGAAATTAAGCAAAAATGGGCAATATTCTTCAAGTTCAGAAGTTGTATCTTAGAAGAGTCAAGTTATAAAGATCCAAATGTCTAAAAATCTAAATGCTTTACTTATAATAAACTTGATACTAAAATATTTATGATGCTAAATCATAACACTGTTGGTATGCTGTTCTAGCAATTCAGTGATTCTAAAACTTAAAAAATTGTTTTCCACTATTATATCTGTTTTACAAAGTTCTACAAAGTAATTTCATTAAGAAGGCAAGTAAAACAGCAATCATCTTCTTCCAGCTTATTAACCAAAAGGCAAACCATAAAAATCTTTAAAATGTTATTCTCCCTTTCAATATTGAAAATCACTCATTAAATAAACTCACCAACAAAAATAAACCTTTATCTTAAATCCCAATAGAAATATCCTTATTACGAAAAAATATTCCATTTACTTCTCTCCACTAACAATGAAACTAGGAATGTTATTGAGGCTGTGACTAGACTTTGAATGTGAACAAAATTTTTATATCACTGGGATATTGGATGGTTTGAAACAGAATGTACAATAAGCCCTGCTGCTAAGCTAAAAAACGCCTTTTATGTAACTAGAAAAGGCTGTCCTTTCTTCAAGATACTTTATTGCCAATAGTAATTAGCAATACTGTGATTGTACTATTGTAAATGGCACCCATGAGTTGTGCGCAGTTATGCCAAGAGTTCTCTCATGATTCCTTATTGTCTTTTCTTTTCATATATATATCTTAACTTAATCCACAACAAGAGACCTAAGGTTAAGACAAAAAAAAAAAAAAAAGAGGGACTCAACTCCCTAAATCACAAAATAACAGTTAAAGGGATTATACATATACCACTAATAACAACAAAAATGATGATGATACATCTTCAATACTGGTCTTAATTCTCATAAGGCTGTTTGATTTGTCTGATTCTGATACTGTTAATATATGAACCTTGCTCTTTCAAATATAGATGGAACTTTTTAATTGACAGAATACAGGAAACTTAAAATTCACATCAAGAATATACATGCAATGCTAATTTATGCTTATTAACAATATTAGTTAATGGTTAAAAAACAAAATAACTGGACATCATCTTTCCAATCCTAAACTTTTCAGATAAAATATGTGCATAAGATCTTGACAACTTTCACAGAAAACCAGAGCTGAAAGTTGGAGCACTTCCAATATCCAAAAATGTATGTTGCATCAGAATATCATTATCCCAGAAGCCAATAAATATTCTTCCTAACTGTGCAAAGATGAATACAATAAACCATACGATCAGCAGACGACACTGCCAAATATTAAGATTGTTTAAAATCTTTAAAATTTCACATATTCATGGTGAATAGAACCTCTAAAATTCAAGAATTAAAATTTACAAAAATAAATACCACTCTGACACTCAAGGGACATCTTCACTTTAAGGCCTTTGTCACAAATCTGAATCTTTATTGTTCTGAAATAAATGTTATAAACATAAAACAAAAACTTTAATATTCAGTCTCAGAAGAGGTGTGGCTCAAGGCCCATCACATGTAACAAGAAAACTTCCTTTAAAAAAAAAGGAAAAAAAAGTACTATGAGAAGTCTTTCATATGAAAAAAAATGCACCCTTTGGATTGTTTTCCCCCTCATCTCATTAGCTTGTACACATGTAGGAATCAAAAGGTTTGCATTTTCTTCACAATAGTTCTTGCTATGATGTTTGACGGACCTTTTGCCACTCAACAAATTCATCAAGGAGAACAGGCCCTAGAAATAAAGAAACAATTTTTGTTAGAATTCAATGAACTAAATCTCTTCAACTATAAAACAAACTCCCCACAAGCTCTGTGATGATGATAGGGGACTGACCCTTCCCTTTCTAAGGTGTTTTGCTTCCAGCCTCCCTCATCTACTGAATGGTGCTTCCATAGTCTTTTCTTTTTTGCAGAATGGGTATTTGTAGCAACTTCCTTCTCAAGGTTTAAGTGTTTTATAATCTCTCCAATAACTAAATATTAACTTCTTCCTTTTGCTAACTTCCCACAGCATTTGCCATTTAATTATTAAACAATCTGAAAAGTGTTAAACTTAGTATTTCTGTGTTACCTCACCAAGAAGTATGTAAGCTTGTTGAAGGGGCAGCCAGTATTAGAGACTTATACTGTTCCAGTAACAGGACCTAGTATAAATGTGAACACAAAGCAAATGCCTAATAAATACCTGACCAAAGAACTATTCTAAAAGGATATTTTTATCATGGAGGGGTTCCAAACTCATTTACCTACAAAAGCCATGTAGGCAATTTAAATGAGCTCAGTTTACTTTTTCTAAATGCAGAAAAATTCATTGCTACAAAGAAATATGCTTTCCCTCTTTTTCTTAAAATGCACAATCCTGTGGTAGTCTCTATTTTTCTCTTGCTTTTGATAAACTACAAGAAAAACTGTAAACGAGCACTAGAATAAATGGCAACTGAAAAGCAACCTCGTTGTTGGCATATTATGGACCAGCAAACTAGAAAGCAAGTCCAACATAATCCACTACTTGGCTCCAGCCACCAATTCCTATGAAAGAATACAGGTACACTTTTGTCAGAAATTGAAAAGCTTTCAAATTAAATCATAAGCTTTTCCTATCACAGCTTATATTTTGCTTCCTATTTTTTAAAATCACGACTACACTTTTCTTCCAGAGGAAAATGCCAGGAAAGGCAGAAATAAAGCAGAATTTTAGCATTTAAGTACAGAAATAATAATTCAAATTAATTTTTATAATGCTCTATTACTGAGAAATTTAAAACATTTCATTCACCAACAAACATTTCATAATATTGCTCAATTCAAGCTTTTTGTCTACCTTTTACATCTGCCTTCCCCACACTTCCCACATGATTAAATAATAAAAGTTACTGTTAGGAAATTTAAATCCTTTATGGTGATGCTACACAAATGCATATTCTCATTTAATAGTTTAAAATTTTTTATTTTCACAGGAAAACATTTTATTATACTTACAAGCACCATCTTCATCATAGTTACTAAGATCGGCATGGACGGTTCTGCTGAATTCCAGTACATTGTACCACTGATCTTTGTTCATAACACGATACTTTGATTGCTATAGAAAATGATATAAGTATTTGTCTTACAGAGCAAACATTATTTATTAGGGCTCGACTTCAATAAATATAGTTACAACATATTTTGTAATTTGGTCTTTCCTAAAACATTTATTCCTCTTTTAATTAAATTATTTGTGTTTCTAAAGGAATCCTCAGGGGCATTTACACATTAACATCACCAATTTATTTTTTCCTTTATTTTTACTTCAGTTATGAAGAACAACAAGAGCATCAAGGGTACTAAGGGTAAACTCAATGAATTTTTACCTATGTATATTTGTTTAACCATCAATGAGATCAAGATATACAACATTTCCTACACACAGAAGGTTCCCTTGTGCTGCTTCCCAGTAATTCATTTCTTTGCATGAGATTTACTATTTAGCCACATTTTGAAGTTGGCGTCTTTGAAGACAGTGGAAGAACATAGGCATAGGTTCAAATTCCATTTCTGCTACTTAATTGCGTGACCTTAGAAAAGTTACTTATTTTCTCATTTCTCATTTGCTAATGGGGATAAAATAATTCAAAATGATGGTATAAAGATTTAAAAAGATAGTTTTTGTCAAATACCCTCCAAATAACAAGTATCTGAAAATATTTAATTCTCTCAGTTCCCTTTAAAGGTAAATATTGTTACATTTTTCAGTTCTATTTATTTTTGCCATAACTACTAATAGGAGGAAGATTGATAACATCCACCAAAAACATCTACTTTATCAAGCTTAAAGATTAAAGTGTGCACAAAACCCATTCGCATAAGACCTTCTCATACCATTGTCTCTTATCACAAGCTTTAAACAAAACTACTCTGGGGAACTTGCTATGATAAACAATCAGGTTTATGAGACAGTATTTTCAAAGAAGAAGCACTGTAATTCAAAAAATGGTGAGAACTATGCTGAAAATACTAAAAATTCAAAAGGCACAAAATTAGAAAACCAAACAATGGAAAAAAAGAAAAGTATCTTCTTAAAACTACTGCCTACAATAGATGCAATGATAAACCTAAAAGAATGCTTTCTTCATAAGTTCAGCATATAATTTTAGAAATCAGTACACTTAAGTACACCATGATAGCCACTCTCGTATTTGTAGACACAAAATATTAAAGTTTTATTCAAATTCTTTAGATTGAACCTAAGCGAAAAGTTTTATTATTACAATTGGTTCCTATGTGGATTTCAGCCTAAGACCCTGTGTAATCAGGAAAAAACTGATTTAGAAGCTTGGGATTTGTGCACTATCATCAATTTTCTCCTGCCGAAAGTCCAAGAAACTTATTTCATAGGAAGACTCTGTACTAAAATATATTTCTTGGAGGTTTCTTTTTTAATGGATGGGATGCAAGGGATGGAATTAAAATGGTTTATGTACAGAATATATTAATGAACATGAACTTGTGTCTAAAAATGACAGCAGATATGTACATAGTTTAACAGAAATTTTCTACTCAAGCAGATATTTTTTAAAATGCAGTACTAAAAGTCTATGTTTTTCCTCAATTAAAGGTATGTTTTAAATCAGATTAAGTTTTAAAATAGTATTTTCAAAATTAAAAAAACGAAACAAAACATACATACCTCTAGGTACTGGTAAAATACTGAAAACAGTGGCCATGTCCTCCCAAGCAAAAGAGCTAACATAGATTTAGCAGTATCAATATCGAGACTTCTCTGATCTTTATCCTAAAATATAAGTAAAAAAATTTTCTAAGTATAGCCTCAAGATTTTAAAAAATATTAAAATTAAAAACACAGAAATTCTACCTACCCTTGCAAAATCAAAGGCATATCTGTAGATATTCTTAAACGAAGAAATATCGTTCAACTGTGAGCGCAAAAAGTCAAATTTGTTCTGTAACTTTTCTGTGCAGTCACACCTTAAATTTAAAAAATCAAGCATTACATAATCAAGAAAATTAAAATATTTGAGGGTTAGGAGGAATGCATTAAGAAAAAAAGTGAGGGCATTTATGAGTTTATTTAGGTTTAAAATTCTCTGATTCAAAATTTAGTATAACAAGCAAACTTGTTGCCTTGTATCTACTAATGCAATAAAAAAAAAAGGAAAAAGAAAACCTAAAAATCAATGAATGTTCACTCCAATGACTTTAAAAAAACTCAATAAAAAAGCTCTAATAAAACCACAATGTCTCTTTTTAAAAAGAGATATAATAAAATATGCTTTCACCCACATATAAAGTTAAAAAATGATAGAACAAATGAAATTAATCAGTCTTCTGTCACATATTTCATTGGAAAGTTCTTAGGCACTGGCTTAGTGAGAGATTATCCATGAGTGGTTTTAAAAGTTTAAGATATAACACTGAGGAAATTAATACATTAGTGTTTCAGTCATAAATTCAGCGTCCTACATTTTCAGTGAACAAAAAATCAAGATAAATCAGTGGTAGCACCTGACTTTGAATAAGGTACATATACAAAAGAATGCAAACAAGTTATACATGTTATTTCCAAAGACAAGACACTAAGTATAAAAAACTAAACAGAATAAAAGTTAAAAATCTTTACTGACTTTTACTCTCACTGGGCTGATATATTTTACTATTTAGCCAGAAACAAGGCAGACGAAGCCTTTCACAATTGGCACCAATTTCCAGTTACATCTCCTGCTAAGTCCCAATATCTTTACAGTGCTCTACTTATACTTCACTTACCATTCCCAAATGCTTTAGTACATACATATTATTTTCCTCTACTTGAAATGCTGTTCTAACATTTTCACTAATTACTCGTCAAAACCTCACTCACACTTTGCCATCTCTGAGACCCTTTACAATCAAATTAGTTGTGCCATCCACTTTGACTCAGTTATTTCATTCAAAACTGAATTTTAGTACTCATCATGTAGTAGACACACAGCATTCTTAGTTTTAACTGAAATTTTCACTATTCTAAATCAACGACGTGATGTATATTTACAATTTTATTAAGAGGTACATATTTTGAATCAATTTCTAGTGTTGCTTAAATCTTGCGTTCCTAGACTACGCCAAATTTGGTCCTGTTACCTGTTCAGACAGACATTGCTAGATTTTTTTTACTATGCTCCCAAATGAGAATAGCTCATAAATTTCATTCTTTCACATTCTCCTTGCTAGTTCTGATCACAAGCTTATTAACACAAGCCTCAGAAAAGTAAAATGAATATTATTACCCTTTTTTCCATTTTCTGAAAAAGTTTACTAAACATTGGAAATAGCTTTTACCCAAACTTAGCTGAAAAACCACCAGGGCCTTTTCATTGAGAAAAGAAAAGACTTTTAATTATTAGATCAGCATTTTTAATGGTTATAGGGCCATTAAGATTTTCCATTTCTTTTTTAATCAGTTTTGGTCATTTATATACTTTTATGATAACTTGTTTCCTGCACAAATTTTATCTAAATATGTTGATTAAAATTATTTATAACATTTTCTAATATGCATTATAATATATTTTTGCCCTTTTGATTTTTTTGACCATCTTGCGAGAATTTCTTAATTCTCCCAATTTTAGCTTTGCTTTGTATTTTACTAATGTCTGGATATCTTTTTATCTTATGTCTTCTTTATTTGGGTTGATCCTTTTTCTAACTTCTTAAATTAGATAGTTCATTTGGTTTCAGGTTTTTTTCTCTTTTAAAACTATCAGTTTCCCCTCTGTGTATAAATTTAGCTTTAGCCGTAGTTTTGATAAGTATTATTTACCTGTAAATGATGCCTTGACTAGTGATTTCAGAGGAGTGGTAGAGATAAAAAGCCTTACTAGAATAGGTTCGAGAAAGAATGAGAAGAGAGGAACTGGAGAAAATAAGTACAGACAAATGCTTTCAAAGAGTTTGGTTCTTAAAGGGGGCAGAGAAAAGAAGAACTAACTCGAGTGCAATGAGGGAGGCAGGAGGTTTGCTTTTTTTAAATAGATAAAAGAAATAATACTTTTCATTATCTCTCTTGCTAATTCAACCTAAAGTCCTAGACATTATACATTTAAAAAGCATAAGAAGACTCTGAGGAACAATACACTAGTGAGTTCCTTGGGTTTTCTTTCTGCCTCATCTATCCCAGACTTGGAGCTAAAGGAGTCAGCAAACTGGGAGCAGACAAAACAAACAAACAAACAAACAAACAATAAAAGCCTGCTTCACCTCTAGCCAAAAGCAAGCAGGCTAGCAAAATGAAAAACTTTTAGGGAAAAAAACCTCTTCTTTAGTCTAACACTACAGAAAAACTGTGGCTCAAGCCTCACCAGTGCTAGCAAAGGCTGAATGGGGCCCTGAATGGTCCACCCTCATCGGTATACAAGGAAGTCTCTTTCTCAACTCCTGCAGTGTCAGTGAAAACCACATGGGGAATATGAACTTCTAAACCACTAGGTACTAACGAGCAGCCAATCCTCCTCTGCCCTGGGGTAGTGTCAAAGGAGAACTTGTGAAGAGTCAAGGCTTTCACCAACACTGCAGGAACAAGGCCACCACCCTAGTAGTGTCAGTGGAGACTTTGTGGGGGAACAAGAAGGTATCAGTGGAAGCCTAGTGAGAACCTGGAACTCTTGTGCCTGCCAACAATAAGGAGAGCCTCCCTCCACAGATGTCAACAAATGAAGAGTAGGGAACTTCAGTTTCTACCTGCACCTGAAAGTCATGAGGCAGCGGTCCTCACTTCCATGGAAGTGGTGAGAAGAAGCTTGTTAAAACAGAAGGGTTAAATAAGATCCAGAGTTTCATAACATAATACTCAAAATTTCCAGGTTTCAATTAAAAAAAAAAAATCACCTGTCATACCAAAAAACAAGATCTCAAAGATAATGCAAAATGACAATCAATGGATGCAACCACTGAAGTGACAGAGAAGCTTAGAATTATTTGACACAGATTTTAGGGCAGCTATTGTAAAATTGCTTCAGTAATCAATTGTGAGCACAATAAAACAAACGAAAAGATAGAAAGTCTCAGCAAAAAAACAGAAAGTCTAAGAAAAGAAATATAACATAAAAAAGAACCTAATGAAAAATTCTGAATTGTGAAATATAGGGTGACTTAAGTCCTAATGTATCAATAATGTAAGTAGTCTAAATGTTCTAATAAGGAGACAGAGATGGACAGAGTGCATCTAAAAAAAAAAAAATCATCACGAGAAAAAAAATTTTTAAGTACGTAAGGTGATGGATGCTATTTTATTGTGGTAATCATTTTGCCATATATACAAATATTGAATCATTGCTGTGTATACCTAAAACTAATATAATATGTTAATAATTTTTATATAAGCAAATAAATAGCAAAAAGAAAAAAATTACAAATCAATATCTCTCATGAATCCTTAATAAAATATTAGCAAATGGAATTCAGCAGAATATAAAAATAATTATACACTATGACAAAGTGGGATTTGTTTCAGGTATGCAAGACCAATTTAATATTCAAAACCCAATGTAATCACAGTATTAATTAACAAGCTAAAAAAAGAAACTATATAATTACATGATTTAATGCAGAAAAAGCATTTAAAATATTTAACATCCATTCATGTTAAAACTCAAAGAAAAATAGAAATAGAAGAGAACTCCCTTAACTTGATAAAGAGCATCTCCAAACAACCTATAGCTAACATTTCTTAATGGTGAAAGACTGAATGTTTTCCTTGTAAGATGGGGAGCTGGAAAGGATATCCACTCTCACCACACTTATTCGACATACTGGTAGAAGTTCCAGCTAATCCAATATGTCAAGAAAAGAAAACAAAGACATACAGACCAAAAAAAGAAATAAAACTGTCCCTATTTCTCGATTTTATGTCTTAATAATGACATGATCGTCTATGCAGAAAACCTATCGAATACACACCAAAAAACCTTAGAAAAAGTTGAGTTCAGCAAGGTCAGAGGATACAAGACAAACGAAAATCAATTAGGCTTCTATATACTGATAATAAACATGTGGATGCTAAAATAAAAAATACAATACTATTTACAATGGCTCAAAATACAAATAAAATATTTAGATGTAATTTTAAGAAAACATGTATAAGACCTGCATTCTCTAAACTACACAAGACTGATGAAAGAAGTCAAACACCTAAAAAATCTGGAAACATATCTATCTTCCATGTACTGGAAGACTCAAATAGAAAAGACATCAATTCTCAAATTCATATGCAGTTTAACTAAAATCTCAGGAAGATTTTTTGTAGATGTCGAGACAATTATTCTAAAATTCTTAGGAAAGCAAAGAAACTGGAAAAACTAAAACAATTTCGAAAAAAGAGAAATCTACCTGATTTCAAGACTTAGTATATACAAGAAAAAATAACGGGGAAAAGACAGTCTCTTCAATAAATAGTGTTGAGAACACTGGACAGATACATGCAAAAAAATGAAACTGAGCCACTCATTTTCTTATACCATATACAAAATAAAATTAAAATGGATTAAATATTTGAATGTAAGAACTGAAAAACCATAAAATGAGACGAAAACATAGTCAGTAAACTCTTTGACATCATTCTCAGTACTATTTTTTTGAGAAGTCTCTCCAGGGAAAGGCAACAAAAACAAAAATAACAAATGAGACTACACTTAACTAAAAAATTTTTGCAAAAAAGGAAACCATCAACAAAACAAAAAACAATCTACTGAATGAGAGAAGATATTCATAATGATATATCAGATAAGGGGTCCATATCCAAAATATATAAAGAACTCATACAACTCAACATCCAAAAAAAAAAGTCCAATTAAAAATGTTAAGAGGATCTGAATACATTTTTCCAAAGAAGACATACAAAAAGCCAACAGACATATGAAAATATGCTCGACATCACAAATTATCGAATAAATGCAAATCAAAACGGCAATGAGATATTGCCTCATACCTGCAGA